CTTAGATTTGTCGTAAAAAATATGTTTTTGTGCCCTTACATTGCAAACGCTGTCTAAACGTTACGAGGTAAACCAAAATAATGTACTTCGGAATTGTATATCTTAAAAAGATCTACAAAAAAGCCTGCAATGGTAGGTATATGTCTATCTCCTATGGAGAATAAATAGTCACCATTTTTATGGATTATGGATTCATTATGGATAATAACTTTTTAAAACAATTTATTATATCTTATTAAATTTAAAATATTCTTGATTTTGATACCCTACTCGATACGTTAGGTTAATTTTTATTTATTGACCAATTACTATTTTGCGTTACTATATTACATTTTTCTTTCACAAAGCCATCATACCATTCAGTAGGTATACTTCGATTTTCAAGACGCATAAAACAATACCTTAACTTTCGAAATCCATCCAACTATTTGGGAGATACGAGGTAATAATAACCATAACCCTTACTTGGCAATCGTGTAAAAAGAAGAAAGTATTAAATACGGAAAAGGGTCAGGTCTATCTTTGAGTAATAGACATGAAGACTAAAAACTTACAACAAATTAAACATCTTCTTTTTTGATGTTTCAGACACCATAGCAGAGTACATTTTTTCAGTTCTGTGCACATACTATGCAGAGTCGAGTACTAGCGTGTATATAATATTTTTAAACATCGGAATCCAGGAACTTGGCATTTGCTGTGTCCCTAAGTTCTTAGTTAATTCTGTTTCTTTAAATTTATCAAGTGCATCCGTGTATACTTGTTAAAATGAAAGAAATAGAATAATTTGAATTCGTTGTTGAATTGATAGTTTACTGCTGGCTCTACTAAAATTAAACTCTTATTAAACTAAAAAAATGACAGTAGAATTCCAGAACAAGATATTATGAAAAGTCGTTTCCTAAAAAAATTAATTTCATTAACAATTTTAAATTACGGATATTTTTCTTAATAATAGATTCATAAAAAAACGATTTATAATATTATTATTTTATTATAAAGCCATTTTCTCATCATGCATATGTAAGAAATGTTATAAACATACTCTACTTAAACTTACATGACCAAAATACTATTTAAAGAAAAATTTTTAACCGTACGGTTTTTTACACTTTCGAGCAAACGTAAATATTTATTAATTATATATATTAAACATGACATATATACACAATCATCATGGTGCAACCATACAATTTATTTTTGTTACCTAATATCCTCTATTTTTCTTTATTTTTGACTCATTTTATTAACCTATATGTGGACTTTTCTCTTTAAAAAATGTTCATAGTATTAAACTTCATTGTCCTAGTTTGTCACACAGTTTAGACTAGTTTCACCTCGTCACCGTCGGTTCCAGTTGCGTGGTCCGACGACTTCGACGTGACAGAGGAAGAGCTAGACCGAGCCGTGAAGCGACTCACCGCCCGCAACACCGCACCGGGCCCTGATGGGATTCCGGGGCGAGCTTGGGTGTGCGCTTTGGCGGTCTTAGGGAATAGGCTGAGGCGGCTGTTTACCAGCTGCCTCCGTAATAGCGTATTCCCTGCCCCCTGGAAGGAAGCCAGGCTGGTACTTATCCAGAAACCTGGCAGAGCTGCAGATTCTCCTTCGGCGTTCCGACCGATATGCTTGCTGGACGAGGTGGCGAAACTCTTTGAAAGAGTTATCGCCACCCGTATCAACCAGCACCTGTCGCGAGTGGGCCCCGACTTATCAGACAACCAATTTGGCTTCCGACAGAGACGGTCGACGCTGGACGCGATCGAATGCGTCCGCTCTTTGTCGGAAGAGGTTGTCTGAGGTGAGGTTGGCCGTCAGTCTTGACATAGTCAACGCCTTTAACTCTCTCCCGTGGTGGGCGATTAGGGATGCACTGGTGTATCATCAGTTGCCACCCTACCTGCGAGACATTATCGGGGCTTATCTCCGCGACAGATCCATATCGTATATGGGTCGGGACGGCGAAGAATGTCAAATGGAAGTCACATGCGGGGTTCCCCAAGGATCGGTCTTAGGACCACTTCTGTGGAACCTCGCGTATGATGCCGTTCTGAGGACCAGCCTTCCCCCCCCCCCCCCCCCCGAAAGAGCGTCGTCTGCTGACGATACTCTAGTACTGGCTGGGGGCATGACTTCCAGAAGGTCCTTGAGCTCGCCGAGATAGGAGTGGCTTGTGTCGTCCAAAACATCAGCGGTCTGGGACTAAGGGTTGCACCTCATAAGACGAAAGCCTTATGGTTCCACAGGAAACGCAGAGGTGCAGTTCCCACCCGCTCACTTATTAGCGTGGGGGGAACAGAGGTCGAGGTTGGCCAACACATAAAATACCTTGGCCTCACCCTAGACAGCCGCTGGAGCTTCGGGGAGCATTTCGAGCGGATGATCCCCCGAGTTCGTGGGGTGGCGGGCTCCCTACAGAGGCTGTTGCCTAACCTAGGGGTCCGCGGGAGGAAGTTCGCGGCCTCTATTGTACGGTGATACGATCCATGGCCCTCTACGAAGCGCCGATATGGGCCAAGCGCCTATCGGCCTCCTCCCGCTGCCGAGCTAAGCACAATCAAGCGCAGCGGGTAGCGGCCATTCGGATCGTACGAGGGTACCGCACTATTTCGTCGGAGGCGGCGACAGTACTGGCACGTTTCCCGCTCTTTGATATCCTGGCGGATATGGACGCGAGCGTCTATGACCAGACCCGCGCGATCCGCTGGGGTGAGAGCGGGGAAGACCCGGACGCGCTCGAATGCTCACCGACAGGCACTGGTGCAGTGGCGCGTGCGGCTGGAACAGCCACAGAATGCACGCCAACGCACTGTCGGTGCTGTTCTGCCTAACCTCGAAGCCTAGGTAGGTAGGGAGGGAGGTCGCGTCACCTATTGACTGACGCAGGACCTCACTGGGCATGGTAGCTTCGGTGAGTACATGAATCGTATCGGACGCGAGGAGACGGCACAATGCCAGCACTGCGCAGCCGACTGGGACGCCGCGATTGAGGGAGGAAGTTGAGGGGTGGTTTTTAGTGAAATCACCACATACTCCTAGCTCCTAGCCCCGAGGAGCAGGAGATCCGAAGGGATTTTCCACCCCGTCAAAAAAAAAGAAATGAAACACTAGTTTAGAGCTTTTAATAGATTCGAGAAACAGCGCGCGTCCTCCGTTTAACAGCCCTAACAATGGCAATAAGTATGAATTCCAAAAGAATCATCATTGGCAAAACAGAAAGCTGAAACGACCTCTCAACAAAAAATCACTAAATGTATTTTAAAATCTAAGTTTTGCTTGTGCACGAAGCATCTTTAATCTTGTTGTTTTATTTATTACCGTTATATATCACGGTATCCGCTTACGGTCTGACCTGATACTTAGCACGTCCTTGCTCCGATAGCCGAAAACATAGTTAAGATTAAAGAGAGAGAGATTTAAAGACGAAGTAATAATGATATTTCTATGACAATGGTGGTGTTGTTAATGAATATTTACCAAATAATTTCAGGTATACACATTTAACATAATCAGGCATTTCATAAAAAGCAGCGGTATAAAGGCTCGAAATTTCAAGAAACAAGACAGAAAGTTTTTGTACACAAGATATTTTGTTTTCAAAAATAAAGATATTCATTCGGCATTCAGAGCTTTGAATTGTACCAATTTATACGAATATTTTTGAATTCGTAGTCAATGTCAAGTCCGTCCTAAATATGCCATCTTTTTATAATTTCTTTTAAGGCCTGCCGTTGCTTATTATGTTCGTTGCTATTTGTTCAGAGGCACAGTCATCATTATCTTTATAATATTTTGAGAACAAAAGAAAAAACATATTTATGGCTCCTTTGGGGTGTCTTTATATTTTATAGGCACTTAATAAAATTTACTTTCATCATTTTCAGGTCCTGTTTATATAAATCGAGATTGATATGTGTCATATAGCCACGTACCACGGCCTATCAATAGTACAAGATTACAACTAACTCCTAATAGTAGAAGTTAATTGTACTTTTGTAATATTGGTTCTCACGGATTTATTGATAACCTAATACTTACTATTGTACTGTCTTTGTATATTTATTAATGATTACCGTATAATTTAGTTGCGCATAGCTGCCAACCGGTCTGCCGGTCTAGTGGTTAGTAATCCTGACAGCTATGCTAGAGATCATGAGTTCGATCTCCCAGGACCACGAATTGTGTGATGAGCACGATAATTTGTTCTGTATTCTGCTGTAATTTATCTATAATATGGATGTATTCAGAAATATAAAAGTAGTTTTTCAGAAGTCTGGTTACCTTAGTACAGGCTCTGCCTAATTTGGGAGAATTGTGTGATGAGCACGATAATTTGTTCTGTGTCTGGCTGTAATTTATCTATAATATGGATTTATTTAGAAATATAAAAGTAGTTTTCAGCAGTCTGGTTACCACGGTACAGGGTCTACTTTATTTGGGATCGAGCGGCCGTGTGTGAGATGTGTGTGTTCAAAATCTTCTTCTATCACAGTATGTTCAGACATTTTAATTTCTACTAATATAAACCTATGGTGTTTTACACTTTGAAATTAGCCGAGAAAACAGTTCTTACAGCGTAAAAATGACAGCAAGTTTAAATTTCGTGTTTAATCACATCACATTAATATTTATTTGGCAATTATAAATTGTAAAATAAAATCATCATCTCATTATTTTACCTGATTTAGGAATAAATACGAAATGTTGAAACCAATGTTTTCTAGCCTTTTAAGTCTGAGGTTACTAAATATTAGGGACATACAAATATGTGTTTATTAAATGACACTGAGAAATCATATTCTTTATTTATGTGTTAACTTTTTTAAGGTAGCATTTGAATTGAATATCTATAAATTGCTCAGTTGTTTCTACTGGAGAAATAATAGAAACTGGGAATTTAAATAACAATTTTTTTTTTTAATATTGATAATTATTTCTCACATTGCCAGAATTATAACTACGAGTATGTTTTTATCCGATCTCGTTATTAATAAGTATACTTAGACATCAAACAAATTAAGATTACGGTCAACTTTCATGTTGAGATCCGTGTCAACGAAGTATGTGTCTGCTATAACGGGTGTTCTGTCAATCATGTTATAGTTCTTCAACACCCATCGGTACCATCTGGTCTTCATGTCACACGTCATCTTTTTATGGTAGATCCTCACATCAATAAACCTCATGTTAGGGGTGAAGAAGTTGCCAATGTCAATGTGGCGGTCCAGGGGGAAACCAAGAGGCATTTTATCAAGAAGGACGCTAGACCTGAAGTCCACCATGAAATCTTTGCGATTAGTATCGAGGATACTCATATCAACGTTATCGACTAATCTCAAAGGTGTTACACAAATGTAAAACATCATATCTAAACCACCTACGTGACCCTTAGGAAGCAAAAGCCTAGTTGGGAAGCCAGTGTGATAGTTTCTCAGATCCTTCCTTAGCAAATCTTTCATATCATTCATAGATTCAATTTTTTTCCATAAATCTCGAGTCATCATGCGATCCTTAACGAGGTTGTGCATATCATGGGAATCTCTTACAATTGTGTTTTTGCCAGTGTTCAACTTGTACAAGAAAGAATCAACTTCAACAAAGTTCAAGCGGTTGTTGTTGATATCAATAAGGCGGTTGAGATGGTCTTTTTTAGGACCCAAGAATATTCTCACTACACAGTCGACAGCTTTGTCGGATGCAATATCTATGGTAACTTTGAAGGGCTGGTGATTAAGTCGGCGTTTGCGTACCATAAAGATCATGTCCGATCTGGCCTTTTTTAGTTCCTCTTCAGTTAAGGTGACGGCGTTAGTCATGTCCATAAGGAAGTCATCAAAGTAAGTTATGAGCTTATCAACTACAACGTTTTCAATTTTTACACCAGGGAAATAGAGGTCTTCTTTGGTGTAGCTGGGTAGACGCAGTTTGAACAAGTGTACGAGATCAATAATGCGTTTCTGCAGCATATAGAATACTGGATCACGCAGTGCTGTCTGGTAATGGTCTAGAATGGAAGGAGTGACGAAATACCTGTAAAAAATAATAAAAGTGTAATAACAATAATGCTTAAAAGTCACGAACGAAAGGCAAAAGCGTTAAGTTAAAATAAGAGACATACTTGTCAGACGTAAATGTATTTAAGCCAAGAGCTGCCTTCATGACTATCAATAGGTAGCGGTAGGACTCAATGTAGGTCTTGTCCATACCAGTCTTTTCTGTTTTACCGTAAATTAACTTGCCAAGTGTTTCCATATCCTCGTATTTGGTCAGACTAAGCCTCATACCGTTATACTGTGGGTAAGAAAAAGTAATGTAAATTTAGATTTTTAATTTTATACGAGTGTATAATATAAATATATTCGACTTCAACTCCACTTACTTCAATGAAGCCCCTAATAATACAATCCCTAATAATCCTCTCGTACTCTTCGCAAAGACGTATAATATCCAAATTTGTATCTCTGGCAATTACGTAGTTGTTAAATCTGACGGGGAACTCTTGCCCATTATGCATTTTTAACCATGGCCAGTAACCTGTTTTGATAGATTTGTGGTATGTGAATTCTTCAATTTTACCAAATCCATTACTGAGACGTTCCAAGTAATACCTAGCCAGTATCTGTTGGTACGTATACACAGTTAGTTCAAAACGCCTGATCTTCGTTTTGTCGAACATGGAGTCTCTCATCCAGAATGGATAGTCAGTATGGAAGTAGTAGTAGTAGGTGTTAAGGTCGATATCCTCAGTGAAGTAACGAAGACGATCGTCATCAGTAAAGTAGACACGCTTGTCATAAATATTTTCATCGATGATATAAACATCTTTGTCTGTCTTTCTGATTCCATAGAAGTCGCAAAGTTTTAGGTCTAAAAGTCCTCTCTTCATTTTGAGTAAGTAAGCTTTTTGGATGACATCGGCACGCACAAAGTAGTAAGGATAAATTTCATATGGAGAAGGCAGAATAATTCCTCTACAGTCCTCGCGGTGTCTGACTGCCACGGTTAGAGCATAAGCAAACATGCCTTCATTAAGATGAAGACGCATCCAGCAGGCGGTCTTGAAGAAAGTAGTAAAATCTTTAGCATAATATAACATATGGAAAATGGTGACAACTTCTTTAAGCTGGCGATCGATGTGCAGAGTAAAGATTTCGCCACGTGGTAGTACTCCAACTTTCATCATTTTGACGAAGGTCTTAACAACATCGGGTTTCTGAAAATTAAGTTATGAGGTTTGTTAAATATCTTAAACGCTTTTACGGTTAAAATATAGGCAACTTTAGCTATAGATCTTACAGTAAACGATTCTGTGTTATCTTCTATTTTGAAATTTTGGCCAATTTCCACAAGATCTTTATACATAAGAGGCTCCATGGGATGGTTCAACAGTTTCAAGATTATCATTTGCCTTTGCTTTATGTCCATTGTTACTGAAAGACAACGTAATTTTGTTTACACACAGTTTACAGATTTTTAATAATAAATTCTTCTTTTAAAAAGTAGATGTATTTTATCAATTTAACTCTAAAATACATAAATCGCTCTAGGTACTTGTTGGTATTTGCTTTTGGCTGGTCATAGATTATATATTACATAGACCACTAATTGATGAAAGTATTGATGCAAAAGTGTTGGTATTAAAACTAAGTATATTAAGAATATGGATGAATGCATAGTTGGCGCTCCTTAGTGAAGGGCTTCGTTCTGCAGTGGACGGCGATAGGCTGGTGATGAAACATAACTGTTAAGAAATATGAATAAATTTATTCACATACCAATTGAATTATCGTCAAATTCCGTAGCCGTGGCCATGCCGGCCAGGCAGACTACGAACAATAGGACAGCGCTCATCGTGGAGTCGACTCAGCTTAAGTTTAACTGTGCAGCACAATCAGAGCAAGCTCCCTTTTATAATAACTGTTATTACTTAAAGCATTAAGTTTAATTATTTTTCTACCTGATACTATTTAAGGGCACCTATCTCGTCGCAATTACAGAAACATAGGTTATCATGAAATAAATGAATTAATGAAAACATTTTTATTGTAGGCACTAACCTTCAGTGTGTCGATGCATGACTACAAAGTAAGGGCACTTAGATACAGCTAGTTCATTGATACGATGACTTATGACATGATCTAGCTGCTTCAGAACTATAGTGTGGCTCTGACTTTTGTAAAATATGTTTTTATTTATTTATTTATTATATCTTTATTGTATATACTAATAGAAAAAACAAAACCAAAGATGAGTTACAAATAAGTAAACGTAACAATCGGCGGTCTTATCGCTCACAGCGATCTCTTCCAGACAACCTTAACATGGATTTTAGGTATTTAACAATTTAGGGTAGTATACATACACGTAACACAATATCACGTGAATATTTAAAAATATTCACAAACATAAACAAACACATTCATACACAAATATACATCTATGGACATTACACATATACAAATACACATACATACATACACACATATCCATACATATTTGGAATATCATCAATCATCAACAGCCTAAATAGTCCACTGCTGGATATGGGCCTCTCCTTAGAAAGGAGGTTTTGGCTTACTATACCACGCTGGCCAGACGGGTTGGTATAGGGTTTGTTTCAAGATTTCCTTCTTTTTGCAGTGCTGTTGTCATGTGCAGTTAGTTCCCTTAGTCGGCTCTTACGACTCCCACGGGATGAATAGGGGTGGAACAGTATTTATAATGACAGATAAAAATCTTTTAATATTTTTTTAAAAACAGGCAAAGTTTTAGCTTGTCGGATTGTTTCAGGCAAGTTGTTCCAGAGTCTTACTGCTTGCACAGTGAAAGATTTGTCTGCAAACTGGGTGGAATGTTTTGGCATTTTTAGTTTTAAATTCTCTGATGACCTCAGGTCCCTATGTGTGTCACGGATGCACTTTTTAGAAAGTTTTATACCGTCGTCATCATATGCTCGGGAGCCACTCTTGCTCGGGACCCTGATTGGCTTATGTTCCACTTAGAAAAACGACCCTTCATCCTCATTATCATTAACAGCCTTTAAGAGTCCAATGCTTGACATAGGCCTCTCTATAGAAAAGAGGAAACACGGCTCTTAGGATGTTAAATACATAGTGCTTCCTCGATTGGTGATTGCCAGAGCTTCATTAAGATTTCGCAACTCACAAGTCACATCACTAGTCTTGAGAGTTAAAGCTACAATTAACTATTTCCAAATGTAAATAAATAAAAGTAATCCTCAGAATAATAATAATAATATATTTCGGACGAATATCTTGTTAAATAAAATAATCACTCATTGTGGAGGCGTAGAGTTACTGAAGCAATTTAACAGCCTTAGAGATCAAAATAGAAGTGTAAAATAATATCTGGTAGAAAGTTTTACTTTATGTTTGCGAAAAATATTTTCATTTTCAAAATAAATTATATTTCATGGTTTCTATTTTTCTTTATTAATTTTTAATGCAATTTAGTAATTATTTAAGTTGATTTCATGCAGAAAGGAGTTTGGATGACTGGTGTTTATGGGGTGACCCGTCTGTTCATTTTCCACAATAAAAAAGCAGTATTGCATTAATAAATGCATCTAAACAAGTAATTAACACTTTGTTATGAAATGCATACCTATATAAAACAAAAACAGATAAAGATCATCTTATTCTATTACTTATATTGATTTCGAGTGACAAAAGGATTTTCAAGAAAGAAGAAGACCACTCATTTATCTCATAGAATGAGGCACCTGAAAATTGAAAACCTGCATTGTAAATTATGACCAAAAAGCAAATCAGCATATTCAAGGCTTTCAGATCAAACTAATAAATGTATTTGCAAATACAGGTACATTTCTAGGTATTACAAAATGTAGAATTATCCACTGTATTTTACCACATTATTGATGTGCAAATATTTACCATTAAAATGTTACATTTAAAATATAATTTTCCAGAACAATTATAATACAATTTTGATTACGAGTATAATACAAGTTAGAATACATTATTAGTCTCATAGATTTATAAACATGGATTTACCATGTCACAAACCGTACATTGCATAAATTACCTATATTATTTATTTGATATTATTATCTGTTGAAAATTATTTTAGCTTTAAAACTGTTTGCATTCAGTAAATCTCTTATAGATGCCGGTAATTTATTATATACCTTCACAGCCATACAGAATACTCTACGTGATACACTCCCATGCATAAGTGCTGTTAGTAAGGGTATTATGCACGGGCATGTTGTTGTTTCTTTGGAAAAGGTGTAGATTAGTCCAAATAAACTCAGCAATTTATATATATATATATATAATATATGGAACGAAATGTAAGTAGCTTCAAACGTATAAAATGTGGCTTACATGAATCTGTTTTTTGCAGATGGCATAACGCTAATATACGCTTCTTTTTTAATTAAAACGCTTTTGAAAAGTATAAATAGTTCTTATACGAAAGCGATTAGTATTTGGTAAGGCCTTGAAATGCCCCAGAGTAACTACGCCACTAAGAATTATTAATAAAGCAACAATAATAGTACACTATAAATATTAATTAACCTAAAATTTCATATTTATTAAACTATAAAGTATATAAAAAAGAAATGGTAGTTCAATATCGATTTGTGCTGTAAACAATCAACGTAAGTGGATAAATTGTTTTGTTATTTGTTAAATTTATGAATTAAAAAGTTTGTTAGATAGTTACATAGGGTAAAAATTTCCTGTATCTATTTACTTCGCTTAAAGATGATTTTTTTCCTTGCCGAGTTTTTAATCCTTACTATAATTTTTACATATTACCCTATGGACTACACAAATATAAAAATTACGATCATTTTCTAACAAGCTTTGCTAACAGTAGTCAAATCCATAAAGCAATAGTTAGTAATGAATTTAACCACACAAAACTAAATCTAAACCAAGAGATAGAAATAGGTAACGTAGTAAATAACTCTAAAATCTGTAAAATAGAACAATGGAAAAAGAAAACACTCCATGGTCGACATCCCCAAGAACTTGAACAACCGCATACAGATAAGTCGGCATCAAACAAATGGCTTGCTCTTGGATCCCTATTTCCGGAAACTGAAGGCTTCATCATAGCAACCCAAGATCAAATCATCAACACTAAAAACTATCATCATCATCAGCCTATTGCAGTCCACTGCTGGACATGGGCCTCTCCCATTGCACGCCACTTATATCGATTTAGGCCTTCTCGCATCCAGCACCTGCCAGCCATCTTGCGCAAATCGTCACTCCACATGGCCTGTGGGCGTCCTACACTACGTTTTGCTGAGACGCGGTATCCGCTCAACAACTCGTTTTCCCCAACGGTTGTCGGCTCTGCGGCTAATATGGCCAGCACACTGCCACTTCAGCTTGCTGATCTAAAAACTATAAAAATACATATTTTTAAAGATCCTACCGTAACAGACGACAGATGTAGAAAATGTCAAAATCAAACAGAAACAATACAACACATCACTGGAGCATGCCCTAATCTTGCACAAACAGACTACACACATAGACATAATCAAATTGCAAATATCATACATCAAAGTCTAGCACTCAAACACGAACTCATCCCGGGTACACGTACACCATACTACAAAGCAGTTTCATAAAATATACACTCATAAAATATACTATGACCGTGCAATACTAACCGATAGAACCATACATTACAACGGCCCCTATAATATATATATAACCGTACAAGGCAAAATAAATAAAACCACTTACCCCATCGATATAGCTGTTCCAAAAACTCACAACCTAGTAAAATACACAAATATGCAGACCTTAATGATGAAGTTTTAAGAATCTAGAAACAATAAAAACTATACATTGCCCCTATAGTATTTGTGAAGGCTGGTATTCTGCCGTAACACCGACATCATATTTTAAAACTCCTTGACCTGAAACCCAATATCTACATGCTACTTTTAAAAGCTTCTAAATTAAACACTTGCAGAATCGTAAAAAAAAGAAAAATAGATGAGCAAATACACAATGCAATAGACGAGTAGACATAATTAACTTCTCCTAAGAACCCGTGGCATTTACTTAACTTAGTCCGTAAATGTCCCATGCTAGGCAGAGCCTGTACTATGGTAATCAGACTCCTGATAAACATACTTATATATTTCTAAATACATACATATTATAGAAAAATGAAAAAATAAAAATTACACCCAGACACAGAATAAACGATCATGTTCATCACACAATTATTTTTCCTGGGTGGAACCCACGACCTCTGGCTCAGAAGTCAGGGTCACTAACCACTAGACCAATAGAAATAAAAAAGAAATAAAAAAAATGTCATTACATGTACTTTGGTCTTAGCAGATTATATATTTTTGTTTTTAATTTAGAATAATCGTCCTGTATCACAAAATAAGATGTTTTGTAAGGAGAAGCCTGAGTCGCCTTTACCTAACTTTTAAGAACCGAAAGAATAAGTATTAAAGCAAAAACAAATTAATATCTTTTGAAAACCCCTATTAGTATTTATTTGCTAAATTAGGATATTTACAAAATCTTTTCTCCTTAGGAAGTAGTGCCGAATGTTAATTCCGATCTTCTGCTTCGAATCAGGATGTGGTATTACATAATATTACCCTTTTTGCAGTGGCCAAGAATATATCTTACTTCATAATTAAGGGTTTTATTTATTTAATGTCTTGCAAGTAATAATGGTTCTTACATACATACACATATAATAATACATATACGATGTTGCACTACCTTCCACTCAAAATAACTTCCTTTGGATTACTGCACAGGAACTTAATCGTTAGAAAAACTATTATTAATACAACATTCGTTCAAGCTATTGGT